CGCCACCGAGGCCGTAGCCGCGGAGCAGCGCGGGCGCAGTCCAGGCCGGTGGTCGGAGCGGCGACGTGAGCGGGGGGAGCGAACAGCGCGTCGGCCTCGCGACTGTCGACAGCGGTGACGCATCATCTTCGGGCGAACCCGAGCCGCTCGAGCCTGTGTCGGTGGTGGCGTGGGGCATGACCGCGAGGCTGGCGCTCACTTCGCCGAAGGTCAGCCGAACGAGCGGGTCCCGGTGCCAGCAGTAGTCGAGAAGCTTCCGATAGGCCGCCCCGAACGCCTGATCAGCGCCGGCTTCGGCTGCGGCCGAGTCGGGGCGCAGGTTGTCGCGGGTGGCGCGCAGGGCGATCGCGGCCGGTGTCTGGGCGCGTCCGCGTGAGCAGTTCCCACAGCACCACCCCGAACTCGTACACGTCGGCCAGCGCCTCCAACACCACTTCGTCGCCATCGTCGCCATCGCCTGCCGTCAGCACCTCGGGGGCCAAGTAGGGCACGCAGCCGACCAGGCCGCGGTGGTGGTGAGGGCCGGCGAAGCCGAAGCGGCCGACCTTGACGTTGCCGGCGGGGTCAAGCAGGAGGTTGGCCGAGCGGAGGTCGCCGTGGGCGAGAGTGGAGGAAGTGCATGCCGAGGCCGGCCTGGCGCCGCAGCTTGAGCGGCGACGGGATGTCGTTTGCGACGAGGTCGCGGTTGTGGAGCAGCTCATGGAGCGAGCCCAGCGGCGTGTGGTCCGTCACCACGCCCAGCCGCGGCCTGGCGTGTGCGCGCGACGCGTCAGCATCAACAATGGTGTGAAGTTGTGTGCGTGCGTGCGTGCGCGGTGGTACCGGACGAAGCCGCCGTGTATGGCGACGATGTGTGGATCGCCCAGGGTGCAGACCACGGCCATCTCGGCGGCGAACGCCTGTTGGCTGGACTCGCCCTCAGCAGCGGCGAGCGGGACACTGCCACCGTAGTCTCTTCAACACAGCCTGCCCGAATACAGGGCCTGGCGCTTGGGCTTCTTCTTGAACTTGGTGGCGATCTCGTCCTCGAGCCGGGTCGACCCACGTCTGCACCCGATGAGGATCTTGGTCACCCCCTCCGTCGCTCCGATGATCGGTCGCAGGATTGCCAGCGGCACTCCTGCACACATGTGAGTCAGCACCGTGTGCGGTGTGTGCGTTGTGATCGACAGTCAGCCACATGTTGTCGTGTCGCGTGTCACGTGTCGTGGCGTGTGCGGAAAGTGCTTCCCGAACTGGCGGTGTGAGAGGTGCGCCAGAGTCGAAGTTTAGACTTTTGTTTTTTTTAACCACGTTTCGCTGTCGATTGGCGCGTGTAACTCCGTTGATTGTCGACCGATCACGTGACAACGTATACACTACACGGACGCCTCCTTGGGCTTGTCTGCTTCCTTCCTCTTCTGCTGCTCTCCTTCCTCTGTCGTCACCGTCTCGTCGGCGGGCTGCTTCTCCTTTTCGGCGGTGCTGGCGAAGACGTCTTCGATGGGCGGCTGGCCGGGGAGCCGGGGCGGGAAGTCGAGCTCGATGGCGAGCACGTCGAGCTGGAGGATGTCGGTCTCGCAGCCCAGCAGCAGGCCCAGGTTGGGGGTCGTGCGGCCCAGGTCGCCGTGCACGAACTCCTTCACGTAGGTGCCGGCCTGCGTGGTCAGGTCGAGCGTGATGAAGTGCGGCGAGATGTACTGCGCCCGCATCGCGTAGATCGTTCGCTTGCGCACCATCAACGTTCGTCTGGATCGTCACATGTCAGGACACGACACGCACTATGACACACACGACACGCACACGACAAGGTGGTGGCGGTGGCGGTGGACAACAAACCTGTGGAGCACGCGGATGGGAGTGGTCTGGTCGATGACGAGGTCCTTCATGC